CCTCTGCTTCCCAAGTGCTGGGATTAAAGGCGTGCACCACCACGCCCGGCTCCTTTTTTTTTTACATTTAAAATTTGTTGTGGAGTTGGAGAGATGGCTCAGTGGTTAAGAACACTGAATGTTCTTGCAGAAGACCTGGGTTTGAATCCCAGCACCCACAAGGCAGCTAACAAGTATCTGTAACTCCAGTTCCAGGGGATCCAAGGATCCGACAGCCTATTCTGTCCTCAGAGGGCATTGCATGACACGGGTACACTTACCTACATGCAGGCAATACACGCATACACACAAAAATAATAAAATATTATTTAAAATTTTGTTTTTTTTCCTATGATGAGTCAAACTAGCTCACTATGACATGACAATGAAAACACACGAGAATGAATAAAAGCAAAAGTCAAGTCTCAAAAGGTTCCTTGCTGAAATAGCAGAACTATGGAGAATAACAGATTAATGGTTTCTGTGAATAAGGACTGGATAATGTATAGCATAGCTATAACTATAGCAGGATGACACAAGAGTTCCTTTGAGCTGATGTAATAGTTTTGTATCTTGAATCTTTTGTTTAGTACATGAATATTCCTGTACTAACATTTTATAGGTTTATACACACAAAAATCAATGCATGTAAAATTTGGTGGACATGAATAAAATCTGTAGTCTACTTAGCAGTTAAAAAAATTGTATTTTGTGTGCACGCATGTGAACATGTATGAACAATGGAGTGCCTGTGGGGGGGTCATTGAACAGCTTGCAGGAGTTCTCTCATTCTACCATGTGGGTCCTAAGGCTGGAACTCAAGCTGTCAGGCTTGCACAAAGTGCCCTTATCACTAAACCATACACACCAGCCAAAGAAGTCATCCATTATTGATTAGAGAGAGTTTAAAAACATGCACAAAGTCTTCATTTCCCCCAGAGCAGAGGGGCCTGGGCTGAATACAGACTCTTAGAGCACTGGGAAAGGTTAGTATTTTTTCAGTGAGAAATCTGAGATCCCAGACCCCTTATGTGGCTGACCCTTTAGCAGAGCAAAAGCCAAATATATGTCTGCAAGAGTCCTCTAAAAATAAAAGGACTGGAGAGGTGGCTCAGCAGTTAAGAGCACTGGCTGCTCTGGCAGAGGACCTGGGTTCCATTTCTAGCACCCACATGGCAGCTAACAATCATCCATGTTCCAGTTTCCAGGGGATCCAACACCCTTTTCTGACCTCTTGAGGACATTGCACAAGACAGTATACTTCTATTCATGCAGATAAAACACTTAAACACTTAAAATAAAAGTAAAGCCAGGCAAGCTGGGCATGGAGGTACAAGGCTTTAATCCCAGCACTCACTCACTCACTTGGGAGGCAGAGGCAAGCAGATCTCTGTGAGTTCAAGGCCAGCCTGGTCTACATAGCAACTTCCAGGCCAGCTGGGGCTACAGGGAGCCCCCGCCTCAAAAAAAAAACAAAATTTAAAAAGATTCCTCTAGGCATGCCCCCCACCCTCCACCCCCCACTTCCTTGGCCCTCTGAGCTGACAAGATGGGTCAGAGCACCTGGGCAGACCAGAGCATCTGGGCAGGAACAGCTTTGATGACTGTGAAAGTGTCCAGTCCCAACTCAGAGTCTTCATTCTGATTTTCTCTCTGCTCCTCTCCCCATACCCAGCTCCAGCAGGAGGTAGCCCTGGCTTGGGCTCCCTCCTTTACTTGGGCAGAAGTCCACTCCTTTTGTTTGTCAGATATCCCTCTGGGCATAATAATCACAAAGGAAGTACTAACATCATGTCCACAGTAAGCCATCTCTAGGCTCTGTGGGCGCAGGTCCTGTCCCACCTGGACTCCCTGCATCTGAAGGGTGCTGGCCTGTGAGCTCAACTGTGAGCTCACAATGCTGGCTGTGAGCTCACTGCTCCCCACAATGCTGGCTGTGAGCTCACTGCTCCCCACAATGCTGGCTGTGAGCTCACTGCTCCCCACAATGCTGGCAGTGAGCTCACTGTTCCCCTGTTCCCCAACTCTCCATTCATCTTCAGAGTATTACCTTGCCACATTACAGTAATAAACAGCTTGACTCTTTTTTTTCTTTTGTCTTTTTGAAACAGGGTCTCCCAGTAGCCCCAGCTGTCCTGGAACTCACTATGTAGACCAGGCTGGCCTTGAACTCACAGAGATCTGCCTGCCTCTGCCTCCCAAGTGCTGGGATTAAAGGCGTGTGCCACCACGCCCAGCAACTTTAAATTTTTTACACTTTGTGAGAACAGTTACTGTTGATTTCTAGTTTTATTCCATTGTAGTAAAGATAGAATAAAAGAAGTTACTTCAATATAAAATATTGTTTTAAACTTAAAATTTATTTATTATTTTTTGTTTTATGTGTATGTGTGTATTGCCTGCATGTAGGTTAAGTGCACCCATGTTGTGCAATGCCCACGGAGGACAGAAGAGGCTGTCGGATCTCCTGGAACTGGAGTTACAGACAGTTGTTAGCTGACATGTGGGTTCTGGGATTCGAACCCAGGTCTTCTGTAAGAACAACCAGTGTTCTTAACTGCTGAGCCATCTCTCCAGCCCCAAAATATAAATATTTTTTAAAAATTAAAAAAGCCGGGTGTGGTGGTGCATGCCTTTAATCCCAGCACTTGGGAGGCAGAGGCAGAGGGATGTCTA